GGAGATTGTTGCTTCACTTTCCTGGAGAACAGCAAGTCAGACCCGGGGACACTGCTGGGTAGATTATAAACACCTTTTGCCAAGAGTTATTTCCATCCCCTTTAGAATTCTGGTAATAAGGTGTCTGGACATGGAAAGGCCAGAACTTTTAAGAATAAAGTGAAGAACTGGGAGCTGTGGCTCTCGTCTGTAATCCTACCACTCTGGGAGGCCAAGGCAGGTGGACTGCCAGAGCTCAGGAGTTCGAGACCAGGCTTAGCAAAAGTGAGACCCCATCCCTACTAATAATAGAAAAACTGAGGCAAGAGGATTGCTTGAGCCCAAGAGGTGGAGTTTGCTGTGAGCTATGACGCCACATCACTCTACCAAGGCAACAGCTTGAGACTCTGTCTCAAAAAATAAAAATGAAAATGAAATAAAGTGAAGAACCTCACTTGCCCCATAGACAATGAACAACTCTTAACTCCTTCAAAGAATTACATGTTTCTCCCAGGAAACCACAAAAGATGGTGCCCATAGCTCAGTGGGTAGGGCACCGGCCACATACACCAAGGCTGGCAAGTCCGAACCTGACCCAGGCCAGCTAAAACAACAATGACAACCAAAATAACAACAAAAAAAAAATAGCTGGGCCTTGTGGCAGGTGCCTGTAGTCCCAGCTACTTGGGAGCCTGTGGCAAGAGAATTGCTTAAGCCCAAGCAGTTGCTATGAGCTGTGATGCTATGGCACTCTACCCAGGGTAAGAGCTTGAGACTCTGTCTCAAAAAAAAAAAAAAAAAGAAAGAAAGAAAGAAAGAAAAAAAGAAAAGAAAAAGCTTAAGAAATTAGGTGGGGTGTGGTGGTCCCACATGGTGATTTATAATCCCAGTACTTTGGGAGGCTGAGTCATGAGGATCACTTGAGCACAGGAGTTTGAGACCAGCTGGGGCCATTTAGCAAGCACTCATCTCTAAAACAAATAATAAAGTTAGCTAGCTGGGCATGGTGGCAGACAAGTGTACCCCCAGCTACTTGGGAGGCTGAGGCCGGAGGATAGCTGGAGCCCAGCAGTTTGAGGTTGCTCTGAGCTAGGCTGATGCTATAGCACTCTAGCCTGGGCAACAGTGAGAATCCGTCTCAAAAGACAAAAAGCTGGGCACTATGGCTCATGCCTATACTCCTAATACTCTGGGAGGCCAAGGCAGGTTGATTACCTGAGCTCAGAAGTTTGAGACCAACCTGAGCAAGAGCAAGACCCTGTCTCTACTAAAAATAGAAAAATTAGCTGAGTATTGTGGTAAGTGCCTATGGTTCCAGCTACTCAGGAAGAAGATCACTTGAGCCCAAGAGTTTGAGCTTTGATGATATAATGGCACTTTACCCAGGGTGACAGAGTGAAACTTTGTCTCAAAAAGAAAAAAAGGCTCAGCGCCTGTGGCTTAAGTGGCTAAGGTGCCAGCCACATACACCTAAGGTGGCGGGTTTGAATCCAGCCCGGGCCTGCCAAAAAACAAAAACAAAAACAGTAACGGCTGCAACCAAAAAATAGCTGGGCGTTGTGGCAGGTGCCTGTGGTTCCAGCTACTTGGGAGGCTGAAGCAGGAGACTCTCTTGAGCCCAGGAGTTGGAGGTTGCTGTGAGCTGTGATGCAACGGCACTCTACCCAGGGGGACAGCTTGAGGCTCTGTCTCAAAAAAAAAAAGGGCGGCGCCTGTGGCTCAGTGGGTAGGGCACTGACCACATATACCGAGGGTGGTGGGTTCAAACCCAGCCCCTGCCAAACTGCAACAACAAAAAAAATAGCCGGGCATTGTGGTGGGCCCCTGTAGTCCCAGTTACTCGGGAGGCTGAGGCAAGAGAATCGCCTAAGCCCAAGAGCTGAAGGTTGCTCTAAGCTGTAATGCCACAACACTCTACCGAGGGCAACAAAGTGAAACTCTGTCTCTAAAAAAAAAAAAGACTATTTTTCAGAGCAGTTTTAGGTTCACAGCAAAATTCATAGGCTAGTACAGACATTTCCCGCACACCCCTGCAATGTACAGCCCCACTGGAGTAGTATATTTGTTATAATCGATGCTCCTACATTGACACAATGAGATCACCCAAAGTCCATAGTTTATATTAAGTGTCCATGAGGGTTCGTTCTTGGTTTTATACATTTCACGGGTTTGGGCACATGTATAATGCCGTGTATGCAGCAGTATCTTATCACACAGGCTGGTGTCACCGCCCTAAACATTCCGTGCTCCTCCCATTCATTACTCTCTCTCATCAACACCTGACAACCACTGGTCTTTTCACTGCCCTCACAGTTTTGTCCTTTCCAGTAAGTCATATATTTGGAACCATATAATATACAGTCTCCACGGCTTTTAAACCTCCTCACTGTACATAGAACGTGGCTTAAATTGCACGCACAAACATAAATCCCAGAAATGTTTATTGCATCGGGACACGCCCTTGAAAAATCTCTTATGAGTTGTGATCATAAAGGAACCAAGCTCAGGAAATCACCTAATGATCTCAGGAATCTATAACACATTACACTGTGCAGGCAAAATGTTAAGAGATTCAGACAGGGAGGGACAACAGGCAGCCACAGAAGAAGTGAATTTTTAGCTGAATCTCACAAAATGTCAGGCACGGAAGAAAAATGGCATTCCAAAGAGAAGCCATGGCATGTACAAGATCACAGTTAAGAAAGAACATATTATGTTCAAAGAATGATAACAACTGTGAAGCTTCCTGACGGCTGAACAGTCTGAAGGCAGAAGAGTATTAGGAAAACAGGCCAAGCCTAGAAACACTTTGAATGCCACACTCCAGAGCTTGAACTGGATTCTGTAGGCAGTGGAGGCCAACTAAAGTTATTAACCAGAGGAAATAAATGTTCAGATTTATGTTTTAGAAAGACAACTCTGTGGCTCGGCACCCGTAGCTCAGTGAGTAGGGTGCTGGCCACATACCCTGAGGCTGGCGGGTTCGAGCCTGGGCTGGGCCTGCTAAACAATAATGAGACAACTGCAACCAAAAAATAGCTGGGCATTGTGGTGGGCGACTGTAGTCCCAGCTACTTGGGAGGCTGAGGCAAGAGGATCGCTTAAACCTGAGAGTTTGAGGTTGCTGTGAGCTGTGACGCCACAGCACTCTACTGAGGGCAACATAGTGAGACTCTGTCTAAAAAAAAAAAAAAACAAAGAAAGAAAGATAACTCAAAAATGGTGGATTTGAGTGTGAAATCAGAGCACAGTTTCTCTCAATAACTGCATGAGAGGCCAGGGTTGGTGGCTCACCCCTGTAATCCTAGCACTCTGGGAGGCCAAGGTAGGAGGATCCCTTGAACTCAAGAGTTCAAAACCAGTGTGAGGGCTCGGCACCTGTAGCTCAGCAGCTAGGGTGCCAGCCACATACACCAGAGCTGGCAGGTTTGAACCCCAGCCCGGGCCTGCCGAACAATAATGACAACTCCAACCAAAAAATAGCCGGCGTTGTGGCAGGCGCCTGTAGTCCCAGCTACTCCAGAGGCTATGGCAAGAGAATCGCTTGAGCGCAAGAGTTGGAGGTTGCTATGAGCTGTGACGCTACCGTACTCTACTGGGGGCGACAAAGTGAGACTTTTTTTCTTTTGACAAAAAAAAAAAAAAAGAATTCCCTGGTGTTGGTATTTTATCACTTCAATTAACAGATTAAATAGGGAGATTAGACGTTTCACGGGAAGATCACGACTCTCTGGTTTGCCTGTCGCTTCAGACACTAAATCCCAGGAGAGCAGAAAACTGCTGCCTCCTACGACGTCGATGGGGCAACCGTGCGTGACATCGAGCAGGCTCGCAGAGAATTCTTTCAGCAAAAATGACAGGTGGAAAAACACACAAAAATAGAAAAGAAGGGTGCACTGTCGTGTCAAAGACAATATTGGACAGCGAATTAAGAGATTCAGTCTTTCCTTCAACTACTGTTGATTCAACACCAATGAGGCGCCAGATGCCGAAGACTCCGGCGGCTCAGGTACTGACCAGGTCAGCTCCGGGTTTAGATTCTGCTACTCTGGCGCGCGGACTCGGACCAGTCATCTCCCTTAAACTTCAGGCCTTAGTTCCTTGTTTGTAAAATGAGGGGTTGGCCAAAAAGTTAGACGACGCTCAAGCCCTTTCCAGATGCCACTTTGGTAATTCACCTGCTTCGCTCTTCTGCTCCGGGGCCCCCTTCGCAGTGAACACGCGAACGCTAGGCGCCCCCCGGACCGGGTCGGTGCGCGGCGAGCAGAAGTGTCACCGCGCCCCAGAACTGCTGCTCGCAGAGCTGTGGGAATGCTAAACAGTCACAGATCTGGAGGCGGAAACAATGTGGCAGTGATCGCTCCTCCGCCCGAGCGTCCGCGCCGCCCGAGGCCCGCCCCGCCCCCGGGCGCAGCGCGTCCCTCCAGCCTGGAGTTTCCCGACTCGGGGAAGGAGAAGGGGGCGGGAGGAGGCCGGGACCGCGGTGCGGAGTCTCTCCCGCCTGCCCGCGGAGGGGAGGCTGCGAGTGACTCTTGGGGGCAGGAGCAGGGCTCCCATTGGCCGGAGGGCGGGTGACAAGCAGGGGCGGGGTTTCCGGGGGGCGCGGTAAAGGGAGGGGGTGTGCGTGGCCGGGTGTCAGTTTCGGAATCTTAGCCCGCTCACCTCCGCGTTGCAGCCCCGGAGCGGAGCCTCCTGCCAAGGCCGGTCCCTCTGCCGACCGACAGCTCCCGCCTGCCGCCTGGGCTCCCCGCCCCGCCCCGCGGCGCCCCGCACCTCCCCCGGCCCTTCCTGCGGTTCCTCTGCGGTGCTCTGCTCCGGGGGACTTTCTGTTTGTTTCCTCCTCTTCCCTCTTTGTTGCTTTTGAAAACCAGCCTCGTCAAAGCCCCCTAGTCGTCAGGGAGTTGGACTTCTGGAGAAAGGCGACTGCGACGCGCTGCACCCGCCCTCCTGCGACCCCACGAGACAGCCGGTGCGCCCACCCCGCCTGCCTGGCACGCCGCCCGCGTTCGTTCGTCCGGGAAGCCAGCCGAGACCTCATTGATGCACCCATTCCAGTGGTGTAACGGTGAGTCCCGGGATGGGGGGCGAGCAGACCCCAGGCCGGCAGGAGACACCGCCGCCGAGCTGGGCGCAAGGGTGGACCTCGGAGGGCTCGTCCTCTTTCTGGAGCCAAGTTTCTAGTGAAATGGGACGGTCGAGAAGGCGTCCTGGCTCCCAACTGCACAGCGCGGAATTTGAAACAATCCAGGTTTAAGTCGGGGGGCTGGAAGGGCCTCTGAACGCGTGGCGGGCAAGGGGCGTGGGAGCCGAGGGGTCCCCGGCCTTTGTGTAGCGGCTCGGCTCTCCTACCCCTTTCCCCTGCCTTTGTGCGCTCAAACTCTGTTCTTTGTTGTGGTTGTCGGAGGAGAATTAAATCCGCGCTCGGGCTAGGATCTCCTAGAGGGAGCTCAAGTTCCCGGCCTGAAACTTTGCAGGCTATTTTAAATATGTATACAAAGCAACGTGCGGGGCAAGGCGCAGCGGCGGCTTCCTCTCTCTTTGTTGGCTTCCCACTGGCTGCTAGCCGGGCCTTGTCTGTAGGCGAAGCTGCATTACAGAGTCGCTTTATTGAGTTGATAAAGCTTTGCAGATGTCCCAGCGTTCGGATGTGCCTGGGGTGCGGGGCTGGCCTGGCCTCATCTGTGTCCAGGCCGGACCGGGCTGTCCGCTGCCAAACCTAGGTGGAGACCGCACTTGCAGACCCAACACCTCCTCCCCCAGGTTTGGGCGGCGCTGCTGGGCTCGCTCAATTCACCTGAGGCGCTTGGCATTTCAGGTCGCACTGGTTAGGCTTGAGCCTGACTCCTCACCCAAGCTACCTGAAAGGAGGGTCTTTCTGATCGAGTCACAACCTTAGAATCCAAAACCTTAGATTCTAACATCTGCCCTCTCGTCCCCCGTGGCCCTTGACTTGGTTGTTTTAACGCTTCAAGAGTTTCTGGGAGGGAGAGATGAGAAGCAGCTGGCTTTATCTCTGAGTATAGCAAGCTGGCTAGTTAGGAAAAGAAAAATCCACTCTCGAGAGCAGGCTCCTGCCAGATCTTGGATTAATTATTTCAAGAGGCTTTTGTTTTAGGGCAGAGTTTGGGCAGCATGTGTCTGAGTGTGCCCCATCCCCCTTCCTCCTTTTGCTAGTCGGATCTCATTTCCTGAAAATGAACCGAGCTGCGTGTGATAGGTGGTTTCGCGGGAGAGGGGGAGGCGGTGGGGGTTGAGGAAGGCCGGTGCATCCCAGCATCTGGGAAAGATTCCCGTTGGCTGGGAAGGAGAAGCAGTTCCCAGATCCCCCGGTCTTTCTTGGCCAGCCCTTCTCTGACGTCATCCTTGCTCCCAGCCTGCCAGATAAGATGAGACATTCTGATGTCAAGGCGTTCTTAGGTCAGGCAGACAATGGAACAGAGACTTAGGGGAGAAAAATGAGGTAGTTGTTCAGCGATACTGGCCTTTGTGCTGGGCTGCCTCCTTTCCTATGAAGTTATAGACTTGCTGCTTTATCTGCACTTTTTTTTTCTTTTGAGACAAAGAGTCTCACTTTGTCTCCGTGGGTAGAATGCTGTGGCATCATAGCTCCACAGCAACCTCGAACTCTTGGACTTAAGTGACCCCCTTGCCTCAGCCTCTCAACGAGCTGGGACTACAGGCACCAGCCACAACGCCCAGCTAATTTTAGAGATGGGGTCTCACTCTTGCTCAGGCTGATCTGGAACTCCTGA